TCTGTTTCTAATTTTTGTTCAGTCTTTGTCTCTTGGTTTTCTTGGCTCTTTCCTTATACTATAATATGTGTTGTTTGTTTTTGCTCACGCCCCCCCCAACGACCCCGGAGAATTTCCACGTTTTCACCATTAACCAAGTTGATACTACGTTGGGGATGGGGTGGGGTGGGGATGGGTTGGGGTCTGTTAACGTTCGCTTGCACTTGCAAACCAAGTTGATGCTACGTTGGGGATGGGGTGGGGATGGGGTGGGGTCTGTTAACATTCGCTTGCACTTGCAAACCAAGTTGCTTCTACCAAGTTGATACTACGTTGGGGATGGGGGGGGTGTTAACGTTCGCTTGCACCGCAAATGGTCATCCCTGAAGAAGCTTATCCCGAAAGAATTGGGATCCAAACGATCCAATGGCGGGTTGAATGCACGGATCCAAGAATATATGTATAGCTTTGTGTGGCGCTGTAATACACCGTCTAAGCACCAACTGCAGAAGTTGGGTCAGATGGCACAGAAGGAGTGGAACGCCTGAAAAGGAGTGGCACGCCTGAAGGAGTGGAAGTGTGTTAATGTTTCACGAAAAAAACAAAAACGATTAAAAGTATGTTTTTTAAATTCCGGGTCCCCGAACGATATGTCAATGGAGTTACGATTTGAGAGGGGTGTTGTGGTGTAAAAACACATACAAACTGACATTGATCTAAAAAAGGCATCGCCATAAAGTGCCAGAGGGGTTGTGAAAAACGACTCAAAGATGCATGTGAGAACGCGCAAATCGCGCAAGGCCGTTGCAGTGGGCGTGACCTTGTTTTTCCCTCTCAGCTTCTCGCTCTCTCCCCCCTCTCTTTGGCAAAGTCACTAAGCACGCTGTCACGGCCAGAACGAGATAGACAACCCCCCCGCATCACTCGACGTTATGGTTGAATAAGGTAAAATATCATCAAGCGTGTGCTGAGCCACTGTTAGGACTCTGTCTTATTTCTTTCTATGGGTCATCATCTACGGCTCAATGGTAAGGGCTGCTCAGGCAGGACTGAGCGCATATCAAAACTTAATGTCGATGCAGCAAGTTTGCACTTTCACACACTTTGTGCCACACGTAGCCATTATTGTGGGTACCTTTTTGTTTTGTTGGTCTCTTTTTGACTGACTGATAGTGGATCCACAAATCCATGTAGACAGCACCTCACACAGGTTTGGGTCCCCCTGACCACATTAACATGCTTACCGATGTGTGTTCCATGTCAGACGTGCCGAAGATACTTGGATGTGTCAATTGATAGCGCGTTGGAGACTAAAATCATCATCACAGATCGTTGTCATTGTGGTATGATAGGCGCTCCCGATGATTTGTCAAACCAATAACTCCTTCACTGCCCGACTATACATTGCCAGGGGCTTGCTGGAGAATGGGTGAAGACCGTGTTCTCAGGTTAATGTTGCATTTCCGCCATGTAACCAACCACCCAGAACCTGCCCGAAAAAGACATCATTTGCCGAACGAGGCAATTTCCTGGCCTTCTGCCAGGCCAGTCCCGGGCGACGAGACCCCATGGGAAGCATGGTTTTGGAAACCCAATAGGGATCCAGATGCCCTCTGGAAAAGTGATTGGACCCTCCAAGCAAACATCAAAGAGTCGCTGGTTACTGGTTACTGCTCCAGCTGTGGGCCTGATGTCCTCGCGCCAATGCGGGATATGGGGCCGAAGCACCAGATGCCAGCGCCAGAATTATGAGAACACTCACGGTGAGTCCGTGATCCCCACAACTGGTACAGGAGGCTATCAGATAGACATCGTGCACCATCAGATTGTCAGGTCCATTTCATCACCATCGCCTGCAGGGTGACACAGTTGACAACCCCCCCTGATGAGCGGTTCTTCGCTTTACGCTTGCCATGAGGCGAGTGTGCTATGCCATGAACATCCTTGGACTTTAAAATCAATTTTTGGGATCTTCCCCGGATTTTTTCTGCCAGGTCATTGGACACTCGATGTCGGTGGCTGATGTGGATCTGGGTGATTTGTCATACGGCTTTCATTGGTCATAGAACACCGTATGCCAGGGTCCAGTCATACGTAAGTGGATGGCATGACCCATGGTCCCGAGAGGAAGACTACTTCCCTTGACGAACCCGGAGGTGTTCGCTCCACGAAACCCCTGTGATCTGACCGGACACCGCTCCGTGGATCGTCGTCCCCGTGCCAGGCCCGACACTTCGATCGAGCGGCGGTCCAGGAGTCGTCACCGTCCTGTTCGGGCGAACGGGACGGGTGGACGATGAGTCACCCCGGCGTTGTTTGGACGAAAAGCGGTTCGGTTCACCGGTATGCAGGGCGTTCTGTACCCGTACCATGACCTCATTACCGGCACGAACCGTGTACCATCGTCGTACCCGGACCTAAAAAGGATATCTCAGTGGCTGAGGATGGCTGAGGTCACTTTGGTCAAAAGGTTGCTTGGTCAATTGTCCTATTTCTTATTTACTGTAAGAAGACCGTCCGGTAAGAACTGACATATTGTCATATTGTGTGAATGCTTAAGCCCTATATAGTTGTACAAGTTAAAGCTTAGACATGGAAACATGTGGTTCAGAGGAAGTTGTCAGGTAAACAATGGTAAACATTTGGTACATAAGCCGTTGTCTTCTGGGAAGCTGGATGCTTGCAGATTACACAACCAAAGACTCGTGCAGAAACTTGTACAAGATCTCTAGAGGGAGGAAAGCCATTTTCGATACCGCCACGCTTAGCATACTCATCCCATCCATGTGCTGGCAAAGGTCGGGCTTGATCGGCCTTGAGTCGGCGAGTTGTTTGGCGTTCTGGAAGCGAGTTGACCGCGTACTCCTCGGTACGTGGCGAGGAGGTTTATTGTTACTAGTAGCATCCTCTTGCTCCTAGTAGCAATGCCCTTTGTTCCTAGTAGCGTCCCTTGCTCCTAGTAGTAAGATGTACAGTAGTAAGGCCAGGAGGTCCTAGTAGCGATGCCCTTTGCTCCGAGTAGCGTCCTTGTTGTGGCGAGGAGTTTTCTTTGCGTTTCCACATGCCTTTGCTGCTTCGCTTCTTCTTCGCCTTTGTCAGTGTCACGGATCTCTATCAGGCTGGGCGAAGCAGATGTCAGATGCCAATTACCTATTTGGGAACAGATTTCAACTTCAACTATTCTAGCGAAGGTGAATGCATTGATCTCAGAATTGGAAGGATGTTTAAGGGAACATCTAAGCTGTTTTCTCTTAAACCAATTCTGGGAATTGAGAGACCCCAAACTTGTGCTATGCACGGTCACCAGCATCCATCGGGGTGTCCATCACGCTTGGCATGTTGGCTAGGGTGAGAAGTACATTAGATTTTGGCAAGCGGATTCTAGATTTGCCGCGTCTTGCTGTGATATTCCTCATCCTGGAGTACCCAGGAGCAGGGAGCATGCTAGATTGCAGAATTGTGCTTTTGAAGGTCTTAGGTGTTCCTCATGGGATTACTGTATATTTTTTTTGAATGTTCCATGTAATAATACCTGGATCATCCAAATGGGTGCCGGAGAGTCCATTCCATTTGCCTGGAACCGTCCCGTCCCCGACCATTGCAGGATGCCACCTTTCCAGTGATCAGCTATAGGTGCCTCTCGCGTGTCTCCGACGGCTGTGGAGACGAACCGGTGGTCCAAACGGAGCGGAGGAAATGCTATGAATATGAGAAAGGAAGAATCGCCTCCTTTACTACTAGCTTCTTGTTTCTACTATGAGTCAACATCATATCACCAATATGATGGAGTGCTACTAATACATGGACACATTCGCATATTGCCAGTTAAAATCTGTTGCCAAATTATGCCCTACATTTAGGTGGTCTCAGGGATCAATCGTAGGTATACCCCTTACCCTTGGAGCTGATTGGGAATATCTCACCATGATCCGCTACAGGGGGGGTGTTCGTTGGACCTGCCACGGCCCATTCCGCCGTTTCTGGCCGCGGCCCGAGGGCTTAGGACATCAGAACTAAGGGTCCAACGCACTGAACAAGGGTCAAGCGCACACGGAACTGCGGAGAAGTTCGCAGGGATCGATGCCATGCCGCCATTCCTTGCATCGAGATGTCTTGCAAGGACCCCGCCCCCCTTTGAGCCCTTGTGAGAGATCTTGTGCGAAGCATCGGTAGAGAGAGGATCGGTAGAGGCTCACCAGCTACTTGGACCTGAAGCTTCATGTCGTGTGAAAAATGGAGATCCACCAGTAGTGTAAGGTATTCCAGCCTGAGCCAGGAGGCCTTCCAATTCCAGCCAAACCATTCAAAGGTGCTGGTTCTCCATCTTGGAAGTGTCCACGAGTCGGTGCTCACGACGGGCTTCAGGAGTCGGTCTCAGACACAACTCCTGTGGCACGGCTCCCGACTCGGGCCAGGTGTGGTTTCGACCTTTGGTTCGTGGCAACGTGGCTGGTGGTTCTGGGCGCCCGGCGCCCGAGAAGGGGTCAGAGGCAGTTGAGGGGTCATGTATCGATCTAGACGCTTGATGAAGAACCCTCCCCTCCCCAGTTGCATTTGAATTCAAACACTCTTATATGAGAGGGTCTATTAATCAGGCTGTGCATTCCATGAGGGCTAAACAACATCTATGCTTTTGGTCGGCCACCCCCTGGTGGGTTCAGAATGGAAAGAGGACGCGGGACGCTGATGATCCATCCCCAACAAATCCCTATGGCGCCAGAGATGTTGCTTTGCTTTGATCAGGCTTAGCTCCTATATTTACCATGTTGGTTTCATGTTCCGGCATGGAACATTTGGGAACACGGCCGGGGTTTGGACGCACATTGTGATTTGTCATGTGGCCTGTGAGTGCCTTGAACATCCTCTCGGTTCTTGTTTGGTGTTAGGTGAAGACTAATGAATTAGAATATGATGGCCAAAAGTCAGGCTGAGCGAGGGTCACGGACCGTCCGTTGGCCACACCCGACCTCGAAAGCCCTATACTTGCAAACATGTCGTCCCAACCGCAGCCATGAAAGCATGACTCCGGCTATGAGCCTTGTTGATCCTGCATGGACCACTGGTAGCGATTTTGGTTTACCACCTTCCAAGCGTGGTTTGATCACGACTGGTGGGACAATTGAACAAGCACGCACATGGGCGAGCGAGCAATGGGCGACAAGCCGCCTGGCCACAGCCGTGGGAGAAGCAGCGGAGTTGATGCCTGAAAGATGGACTCTGGAGGAACATCTACCCCTTCCTGAAGCCAAAGAAACACAGCGTGACACGTCCGGGCCGCAAAAAAACTATAACGTTCCGAGTTGGGCAGTAAAGCACAATATATTGAACCTCCAAAAAAGCCCCCAACAGTTCCATGTGCGGGGGAACGTTCACTTGGTAGACATCGACGGTGTGACGATGTTCCTCATAACACTGCCCACCTGTATGCGAAATAGACTTGGAGACCCCCAGCCTCGCAGGACGAAGGAGCCTTCGCAGGGCGAAATGGGATCCCAGAAGCGCCGGGACAGCACTCCACTCCAGCGGCCCTGACCCCGGAAATCCACCACCCTGAGCGATACATTCTGATGCGCTTCGGATGCGCTTCTGTCCTCATCCTTCGGGGAGAACAATTGTGCGGACCTGAAAGGAAGCGAGAAACATGAACATAAGACCCCAGCTTCTTCAGTGCTGCGGACCCCTTTTAGGAGTCCCCGAATAGTGGTCTTTTGCAGGCCTCTGAAGTGATGTCTTGAACCCAGCGGATCCACTTCGGTCACTTTGGAAGAACCACCCGATCGCCGGATCGCCTTCGTGATCGGTGAACCACCCCAGAGCCTCGCGCGTCGCGATCGCTACGGCCCAGGCGAAGCGAGCTGCTGGAGCGTTTGCTACGGCCCAACGAGGTGGCCGCCAAGAAGTTTGAGGCACAAGGCGCCAAAGCCGTGGCCCAGGCGCCGTGGGCGGCCGGAGACCCGGGCGTTCCGCACTGCTGTTCCGGAAGCGGAAGCTCATGGACGAGCCCTTCGTGCTGAAATCAGTGTTGCCCAATAGACCGGCTTGCTAAAAAAACACCTTTTGGATCCTTCCTAAAATACAGATTTTAACAAAACGTAGACTTTCTAGAAAATAGATAAGGTCCAGGTAATATTTCAGAATTAATGAATCTGCAGAATCCCAAGAAGAAGGGCCAACTAGAATTAGACCGCAGTGAAGGATCACTGCAGCAGAGATGGAACATTTGGGGATGTTTAATCCATACAATCGGTGTGAAAGAGGATCAACCTACTTCCCCATTGGTTTCCCAGTGAAATGTCAGCGCTACGAACGACACATAAGGGTGAGCCACAAAGAATGCAGCAACGGCAATCATTGCCAGCAATACTAGCCGAACCATACACAGCCATGCATATCTAAATGCTGGGTGGAACATTAGACCCATTAGTTGAAGCCAAACAAGGTCAAGTTCATTCAATATATATACATGTTAAAATACCATTTAACACCGAAGCTGTTCGTGCAAAGACATGCCTCTGCCTTTAACATGACGCCCAATCGCTTGCCGCAAGAACTTGAAACCAAGACAAGGTGTCATGCCATGCCCTTTTCGCCCCCTAAAAAGTCGAAAGGTTTCGCCCACACGACGGGAGCCTTGATTAATATTGCGAAGTCTATCGTTTGGAGCCAAGACAAGGTGTGCGTCATCCACCTGCTGCTGACCTGCTGACCTGTGTTTTTTTCGCTTTTGCCCCGGTGCACTGGTCCACCCCACACATTTGCAGCGATGATATCCCGCCCCTTGGGGTCCGAACGGCTTACCTCCGTTTCGGTTCGGTGGTTAGGGTAAGTTTGGGGGGTTTAACCACCCACCTTCTGAGGATATGGTTGGAGCCCTAGGGTATATGAGCATTTATATGGATTTATTAGCATCCGCATCGAAAGTTATTAGCCCAGCCCGTCAGTGGATGACCTTTACCCCTGTTTGGGAGCTTTGGACCACAAAACCGGAGCAGGTGGACAAATATCAGAATCCCAACCCTCCACGCACGGTGTCAAGCATCTATGCTACGTCCGTTTGAAGCAATTCCGTTCTGTTCGAAACGGAAAGCCCTGACATCATCGGTGAGCATTTGCTTGCTTTTAGAGTAGCCATGTTTATCCATTTTTAATAACTACATGTTTATTGCCGTGACCGATATTGAACACTATATATTATATAACATATATATAAAAGCATATTTCTAAGCATGCATGGTTAAGCAGGCGAGATGGATCCCCTGCAAGATCCTCCCATCTGCAGGCTCAAGTGCAAGGTTGCGGACAGACCATCCACTCGGAGGTGGCTGGGCCGTTCCGGAACAGTCCAACGGCCGTGGGTGGCTTCAGCCGCAAACCCGGAAGAGGTCAAGGTTGGGCCAGCCATTGTTCTGCATAGGAAAGGATGAGGGGTCAGCTTGGGTTGGATCGAGGCCTGGAGATCAAGTTGTACGAACCCAGGGTCAGTGTGGGCTCTGAAGGGGTGATAGGGGCTTTTGGGATTGGGATCCTCTTTTGGTGGTGTTTACGTTCATGAGAGGCTTAATGATTAATGAAATCAGTCCTTGTAGTAAACCCGTGCGTTGCTGAGTGCAGCCAAAAGGGACAACGGCAAGGCATCAATAGGAGCCCCTAGTAGCGTCCTTGCTCCTAGTAGCGATGCCAGGAGCCCGCCCCTGGGAGCTTCTTGTTCCTACCCAAGCATTTGAAAAAGAGGTGTTGATTGTTTTCTATGATGTTCACTGGAGAAGAGATCAAATCAGCTGGATAATTCACATCATGACAGCCATGAGGATGAAACATTATCGAAAAGGTAGTAATACATATTTAAAAGCTTCGACTATCACATGCCTAACTGTATGCCCAAGAATGACCGATACAATGTCATTTCAGGGTTTTCAAACTTCACAGCTGCATAAAAAAGCAGTGAGCACCCCAATTCAAGTAGGCTTCTATGATTCTCAGCTTCGGTTTCCAGGAGAACATGCTTGACGTCGACATTTCGACCATGAGCCCACAAGAGAAAGCCCAGCCTCTCGCCGCTCTCGTCCGAGTCCGCACCGGAACATCGGTTTGGGGGACGAGAGGCAGACAGTTCTGATGTGGGAGTATACCATTCAAGATGGCAACCACTGAAGCACCAACCTGTTTCAACATGTTTTCAAGGGTTTAGGTCTATGTTTCACTGCGCTCAGCGCCCATTCTGGAGGTGCCGGCACCGGTGCCGTGAAACCCCAAGCGGCGTGTGACTGTGAGGTATGTCGATGCCCTCTTCCGTCAGTGGGACCCCACTCCGCTTGGACCTCAGGTGTCCTTGGACCTGGACGCACTCCGCTTGGACCGACACGGAACGGAGCGACGGAGGAATGGCTGGTTCTGAATTGAGGATCGCCTCGGGGCGTAGACAGGTCGGCTGGTTCTTTTGAGGTTCCCTCCTATGGCTTACAGTCATGACGGTTGGTTAGTTATGCTTACAGTCATGACCTGGCTGAGACCTACTTGGTTCATTTTTGTTGGTTCCTAGCACGGGAAAACACATGAAAACACTGGTGGAAGGTATAGCCATCCAAGCTCCATGTTTGTTCACATAAAACTTTGTGCACCAGCTTGGACTTGATTGATTGCTAGGTGGTGAGAGACCCTTACAAAGGACCTTCGTAAGTTGGATCATTTTCAGTCATCTGCCAATGAGTTATTTTCCCTAAAATGCAACCTGTCAATGTCATGACATCAGATGACATCAATGGTATTCGCTTCTTTGTTGATTTGTTTGTTGTATACTACATGTTGTTGGCACCCGAGCTGGCGCAGAAGCTCTTCTAGCTTTTTGGGTCTAGGCCCATGGACAGTCCATGGCCCATGACTCATGCCATGGCCGCCATGTGACGGGATTGTGGCCCATTTGGTTGCCATGGCATGAGGAGCCGGTGATGGCACTAGCAACTAAGTAAGTCATACAAATACTGCCGTGTAGTCCATGACAGCAGCAACTCTGTCTTTATAGCGCACGACAAAAATGCTTCGCGTCACATGCCGAGGGACAGCTTGCGTATGCTTACCAATGATACTTGGTTGCACCTCCTGCTTCTTGCCAAAGGTAGGAGCAGGGGTGATCATTGATCATGGACTGTAGGAAGGACTTTGCTTTGGCGAGGTTGTCGCTTTGCAACATTGACTGTTTACCAGTTTACCATTTGGTGAACCAGCATGGCTTTGGGGAGCGACATGATGTCAAATCCTACACTCTGAGGAAAAAACATGGAAGGAGATAGCCAACTGCTTAGTAGCAGAAAATCATCATTCAAGGGGGCAATGCCACTTCCATATGGCCATATGGACTGGGTGTGTATTTTAATAAGGACACCCCCTGGCCCACATGGCTTTTACTCTTTCTCTTCTTCCTCCATCTTGGTCTCCCTACGCCATCTTCGGATCCTCGCAGCGTCGCAGCGCGCACCGCTCAGGAGCTGAAAAACATGGGCTACCTGCAAGGTCGGGCTGAAAACCACGGCTAAAACCACGGCTGGACGAACGGAGGAATCCTATTAGTCCAAGTTCTTTGACATGATCTATGTGCTCCAATATCAACATCCAAGTCGTGGAGAATCCTCAAACCCATGCTCAAGCACATGTTTAGCATTTTTTAACCTGTCCCCAACACCAGCTTGGCCCACCCTTCTGGCTTCTCTCCGCGAGGCTATGGAGCCTTCTCGACTCCGTCACCTTCGTTTCCGAGGCCAAAACACTGGGGGGGATCGAAAGGAAGGGTCCAATAGCTACTAGTATAGCTTCTTGGCACTAGTGGTAACAAGTGCATCACTACCAATAACAAGTGCATTACTACTAGTAGCAAATAGCTACTAGATGCTACTAGTAGCTTCTTCTTACTAGTGGTAAGGCACTTAGCTACTAGTTGCTTCTTGATACTAGTAGCAATGCACTTGTTACTAGTAGCGGGGATTTGAGGAAGGGTCCAAAGCCCACCATGTCCACATGATGCTGCGAGCTGCATAAACATTATGCGGCGCAAGAAGTGGGCTGCGTGAGGAACACGCTTGGGAACCTGATATCCAAGTCCACCGCTTGAAACACAGGGGGGCAAGTCCTCAATGGGCTGCTAGTTCTCTTGTTGCCATCAACACATCACTCCAACCCAACCATGTCGCTGGGTGTTTTTCTTTTCTATAGCCGATCATTTGTGTGCACCCTTGAAATGGGTCATGTTCAGACCGCCAACTGTCCATCGCCTCCTGATTCCAAGCATTCCCAACTCTGCATTTGCCAGGTGTTTGCCCAATTAGACCATCCAATGGAGATCCATAACCTGTCCGTGGATCACCGTGGATCATCTGCAAAACCTGTTCGGCGGATTGGTTTCCTCAGCCTGTAACAGGTAGAGAATAGTTAAGCTATGTTAACATATATGTTAACCTTTTTTTTGAAGGAAAGCCAAGGGGTGCAGACAGTTCAGATCAGGGTCTCTCATCTAGTCCAACAACGCATCGTCCGGAGCGGCGTCGCTTTCGGACGACGTTGACGGAAATCGTCTCAGGCAAGCCTTCTACCGCAACGGGAGGTGGAAGGACCGCCATGCTAACCCCCACAAACGAATCCCACCTTTCAAAGTGCCATTCCCTGCAGCACATGTTGCAACTAGTTGATCTCGGCTATTCGCTAGCGACGACACATCTATAGCGCTATAGGTGTGACAAGCGGGTGTCACCCAACCGGATTTCGTGCAGCATTTACATGAATTGTTCTTTTTGGGCGGCCCAAAGGCTCATTGGACCCTCATAGCTAGGGTTTTGACCCTCACAACTAGGGTTTTGGACCGCACCAACAGTTGGTTCGGGTCCATGGGTCGCGTCTGGGGGGGTGGGCAATTCCCTAAGGATCCACTATACCGTTTGAGAGGTTGATGGGAGACACCGGAGACGTAGGCGGATCCAGGAGAAACCTTCGAAGGTGGCGCGGAGGACTAGAGATTAAAGAGAGAACTCAATGTCCATCCTTTGGTGGTGAAGCAGGGTGAAGAGAGAACTCAGGACTTCAATCATGTTTGGGCGGTGCAGGGTGAAGCGATGGCCTCCAATCTTTCTTTCGACCCTGTGGAGCTATTAGGTTGGAGGCCATTGCTAGCTTGGACGGGACTTTTTGTTTGGTGACTTCAGACAACGTCCGACTCACATGCCGCACTGAAGCCGCCGGAGAGTCCGTGAACCCGCTTGCTTGTGAAATTTTTGAACAGAATGCAGCGGCACTGACGGTGGTGGGCAAGCCCACCTTCTTTCGCAGAGAGGCAGGCAAAGCATACCACATTGGGAGATCCAGAGATCCAGTGGTACGAAAGCACATCGAAAGCGGACGAAGCTCCCTTCGGATCGGTCGAAGCGTCGTTCACTGCCGATTCGAGGAGGAAGCTTACCACCATCACCGTGCGCAGGCAGGGCGGGGTGAGGACAGGGAGTCCAAGGGGGTTCAGGGAGTCATGGACATGTCATGGACATGCATGCATCAATTCTTCCAATTGGTTTTGTACAACTTCCTCATATGGGGTATGATATTTATAGTCGTTATTTATCACCAGCACCACGGAAAGGGTGGTTTGTGGACACCCCGACCTATGTATGTTCCATCCAATAACTAGTCTAGTGCTGGCAAGATTTGACATTAGTTTCACGAAAACAACGTTGGAGTTTGAGATGAGATGCCTTGTTGGACGTAAGACGCACGCTGCATTGGCATATTAATCCATGTGCAGTTCAAACCGCGGACATGTCTTGAACTTGAAACGACAGTAACTTCTGAAAACCGCAATGTTTACCGAAGCTACTAGGAGCAAGGACGCTACTAGGGGCTCCTGGCATCGCTACCAGTAGCAAGAAGCTACTAGTTACTAGTAGCTTTTTCGCGCGCTGCAGGAGTGACGACTGCGGCCCACATGTGAATACGCATGTGGATTTGGTTGGTATACCAAGCGTGAGCTATCCTGCGTCCCAGCTAGGAGCGAACTTCTCCTAGGAGTTTACCTCTCCCTTAATAAATAGGCGTCTACTTCATGAAGTAATAGCATGCTAAAATAAGATAAATCCAGAGAACCCCTCCGACGCGCCGATTTCGGGAGGACGAGGCGGGTCGCGCAGTCTGCCCAAGGCCGCCTCGTCGCAGGGTTGGAGCGCCACGTCCAGTCCGTCCGGTGCAAGATGACGAGGCCGGTTCAGGACAAACCAGCGGTTTTCAGATGGCACAAGCCCCAAGCTGGATGGTTCATAGCCATCTCAAGGACAGCTCGGGGTGACCGTGCTATCTTTGACACAGTAGTTCGATGGATGCGCCGGTCGGCCCGTCGTGTGACCGAGCAGTCAGTCACATTTTTTTAAGCAGAGACGAGAGACGGTGGGGGAACTGGCGATTGTAGCGGCTAGCCGGCTCACTTGGATTATTTCGTTTCCAGTGCCGCTCATTTCCAGCAGGGTGTAACCGATTGGGATTCTGCCTTCTCCTCTTGACCAGGCAGGCGAACCAGAGCGAGACCGCGAGGAACCGTGGGCTGATAAATTGAGGAGCGAGCTGAGTGGTGGGGCTCGTCGCGAGCTTCTTTGAAGTCCAACAACCCGTGGTGGAAACACCGTAACGGCCCGACCCAGGGTCTTGTTCTATCTTATTCTATTCAATTTACTGCTCTGGGTGGACTTGCTGGACAAAATAATCGCTCACAGGACGTTGGAAGCATGAAACTCACTGATCCAGTGAGAACACTGTTTCAACTGTTTTCATGTGACCTAGCACTTGTTCAAGAGGGTCGGAGGAACTTCACAGCATAAGCACATCCAAAGGGCGTTATGGTGTCAGGTCATCGCTCGTGCGCTGGCACTGACTGTCAGCTGCATTTAATGCTTTTTATCGCGTTTTGTGTAAACACAAGATTGTTGCAAGTACTTACTGGCCTTCAATGTCGAAGTGCTGAATTCCGCACTCCAGATAATCATATATTACAATATATTCTATAGTCTATATTTTTGTGTAACTTCGATGTTGGAAGGGCAGCGTACTCCATGGCATTGGTTGGTGCTTGACTACATTCGCCGCTCGACAGCCCATGATAAGCAATCCTTTTTCCCACCAGGACACGCAGACAACAAAAAGTGGTGAGTGGACACCCCTTGACTTCCAAGGGGCTATCATCCCTTTGGTGCCACTGGCATTTGTTTATTCATGTTTCCTCTCGAGCTTTGGTGTTGGATGGTGTTGGACAGGGAGGTATGGCTTGTGAACGGATCCACAGAATGGACTGCATGAGGTTTGCAAACCCTCCATAATGTTTGACTCCATGAATACGAAATCGCGATCAGCGAGTTTCAGCGTTGGTAATATAGTAATACGATATATATATATATATAATATTATATAATATATATTAAGATATAATATTGATAATAACTCTCACGTTTATTGGAAAACAACCGAGCTGAATCCCCCAAGTTCGCTGCAGCATGGCTGCATGGCGGCCATCGCTGCACGGCTCGGTTGTGAAAACGACCTTCTGCTTGAATGAACGATGGATTCGGTGAAACTCTGATGCTCGAAGGACGGGCTAAGAAGATTTGGACCCCCAATCCTGCTGTTTTTCAGAAGCGCCAACTCTTTAATGTATTCTGGGTGATTGTGGGCGCCAGCTGAGAGCGAATCTGGTCAAGATCCAACACGAGACTGATGTACAGTGCTTACGAGTCCAGGGATGATTTTGACACCATGCTTTTGTTTGGAGCTTGCTCACTATTTGATGTGTGCCACGATCCTTCGGGGATGGTCAGGTTCCAGTCACACGTGCAGTTAGGGCGTTATACAGAGTGGGTCATGGAAAATCATATAATTATTGATGATTATAAATTATACCTATTGTATCCTATTGTACTAGTTGTGAGGTCAAAAGACATGAGAGCTATACGAGAAGGAAGTTTGGGGCTCTCAGGTGAGTTCTTGTAGCAAGTTCGACAAAGCAGTTTGACCGCGGCTTCTTTTCTACCATGAGAAGTTGAGGTGTGCTTGTTGGATTGTTTCCGGATGTGTCGAGCGCGTGCTGCATAACGGAGCTCAACACGGACATTCGTTTCAACAGTCCCAGGCTAATCTCTAATTCTGGGAGCATGTGAGGTAGCACGTACTGAGAGAATCCGAGAGAGATACTGTAGAGATTTGTAGAGATAGAGATGAGCCAGGGTCCCACTATATATGGATCCAAGAGAACATCTATCATCTCGAAAAGGTCGTCCCACTATAGCTTCCGCACCAAAACACAATCTCAGATCTCAGATGTGATGTGAGATCTCAGATCTCTCCTGGGGGTGGATTCCCTTTTGTTACGACCGTTTTGGTAAACCGCGTGGTCAGTGGTCAGAGGGTTCCAAAACCATTTTTGGACGCGTACAATTTTGTTTCAAATATATAAATATCGTCAACTATCAATCCCTGTTGTTTAGAGTCAAGCAACAACGCGGTTGAATTGCCGAAACGACGGTTGTGTCTTTTTCCCTATAGTCCTTAGGAGGCATCTATGATTTTATATTAATGATTTCGCAACACACCTTTGAATCTTTGAGACCTCAGTTTTCCGACCTTTGAGATACAATGTCCTGTTCTCATTCGTTCAGAACATGTCAGAACCGTCTTCACGTTCCTTTTCTCCTTCGGCCGGGCCGAGATGCCGAAGAGAGGAACCTGATCGTGGCCGACCGGATCTCGTGCGGAGAATTCCTCCACCATGGTGGAGGAATTGGTGTGGTACTCCTTTGTAGCCTTTGTAGATCCGGCTGCTACAACACGTGTGGGGTGCCTTGTTGCTGGAAGATCATGGTCCGGAGTCCAGGCCATGAAATGGATCATGGTCCGGAGTCCGGCCGATTTAGAGATTCTTTTTCCACATGTCAACGTTGTGTTTTACTTGTTCTGACACGCTGGGCTTTAGGGTTCTTCTTTGTGTGTTCTTCAGGCGATTTTGAGTGACCAAATCCCAACGTTGAGAGACGAATCGATGTCGAATGCCCCGGTGAAGCGAAATCAGGAAGTTCCCGAAGTCAGGTATACTGGTATATCGGTATACCCTAGTCAGACCTAGTCAGAGCACTGTGAAACATGTTGTTTGATAGTCTTTGAGTCTTTATGTGGAGTTTGGCATGACACGTGCCACATCGTGCCACCAGTCTCCAACGCTCTCCGCGTGCTTGACTTAATGTGAAGTATAGTTTTGGACTCTAAAAACTTTAGCTCCATTCTGTAGCCGACTGGTGCGGCCGGGGAGAAGTTCTTCCACTTGGAGTGCTGATCAGGCGAAAGTCCGGGTTTTGTAGACTGAAAGCATTCTGAAACCTCAGCAGTGAGGAAGCCCAAAGTTGAGACTGAGGAGTTTGCTGAGAAAGACAGCTTGCCGTAGAACCACGTCATGGGCTTGCGAATCGGCTGAGGGGATGTACCACCGCCGAGACTGGGGATGTACCACCGGACATGTCTCACCAGAAACGGACGTTGACGCATTGACATGGATATGGATGCAGAAAGGCTAGCGGCTGGCGATTGGAGATTCAGAGTCTGGCAACTGAAAGGGAACACTGCCCAGACGTGTCCACACAGTGTGTTCTATCCTCAGAAAAGGGACATTCTCAGAACACGACCCTTCCAAAAAGTCCGCAGACGCAAGATGCTTCGCACTCCTGTGTTACGGGCAGGTTTTCAGACATGCCCAGCCTATGCTGATTCGATGCAAGCATGGTGTAGGTCAGTTTCGAGCATTGTGTGTAGTGGGATCATTGAAGACTCAGGTCGCATGTGAAACACACCAGCTGCTGGTCACTTTGAGAGGTCCAATGTCGGCAGGCGTGGCTTTGCCAAAGTTGTTGTAATCTATATGCGTATCTGCTACTGGAAACAATGTCCTTCTTGCGGATTCACGCCCTTTGAAACAACACGGACAACATGTTATGGTTCGAAGGTTTAGCACGGATCACGGCTACTCTAATGAAATAAGTTACTTGAAGACACTTGAAGTATCTTCAAGTCAAAAAATAACAATGACTTCACCAGATGCCTTCCAGGTCCATGCTTCAATCAAACAAGTTCTTCCACATGGTGCACAGTCTTCGAGCCATTTCAGTTTGTGAGGCAGTTTGAGGGTGTAACAAATGACTGGGCTCAGGCTTTGCTTTCCGCCTTTGAGCCTCCCTTCCACACTTGAAGATAGCAACATAGCAATGATCAACAAGGGTCTTCAGATGGCACTACTTGCCAAAGGTGGTTTATGACCCCTTCCCATGTGCACCACCAGAATCAAGCTGTTCTTATCAGCTTCTCATCATGCAGCTTATCAGCTTCTCCCAATGATCTCCTGTGGCCGGGAGCTGATGGGATCAACCGAGGTGGTGGTGATGCAGATTTTACTTCAGGTCGTCCTGGTGCTGCAGTGCTACCGGTGCGCCCGGCGCGACCCGCTTTGGCGACGCGGGTGAGGGAGTCAGCGCTAGTGAGGGAGGCCGACGCGCCGACGCCAACGGGCCGTCGCGCCGGCGCTATAGGGAGGTCTCCTGAGTTCACACACTCCATCCGCCAAATGAGTGAAGTTTACCAGTACCCGACGAGGTGGCTGAAATGGAGACTTCAATAGTGGCAGGTGGCAGGTGGTGACCTGTGAAGTCGGTGCTGGTAGAAGATGGTCAAACGTCAAACCTGTACTTACTTAGCCCCTCTTTTGAAACCTTGGACCGTCCCACCTATACAAAAAGGGTGTTCTAATCACCCTCTCCGCCGGGTGGATCCGATCATGCTTGGACCGTCCGGCCTCTTCCCGCCAGGAAATCCCAAGCGGCGCGCACCCCCGAGGACCGACGATATCGGGCGCTTCCGCCCGGCGCCCGAGCGGAGACCGGACTGTGTCAGGAGCGCGAACGCTACCACGTGGAGGGGCTCTTTTTGGCCCTTCGCGCCTTGGACAACCATGTCTTGGTCTATAGCGTGAGGCCGGTTAAGGAGGGTCAGGGTCCAGTCCAACTGGGGTCCAAAAGCTGGGTCGGACAGGTGGAGGAGAACGGTCTGCTTTGTGGTAAACGCCTCAAAAACAACTCCTGGGGAATATCGTTTTGTGCGATCTTCAGCTGCTTGTGCAGTTTGACCCAAAGCCGTGCGGCCAGGCCGGCGGTCGAGGAGCGTTTGGGCGGCTCCAGCTGTCTCTTGGCCGGTCGCGTTGGGGCCACGTGCACCTACTGATCTTCCGACCTGATACCTCGGACGGGTAGATCCTGTTTTTTTTTGATTTTTTTTGTCATGTCCCATTTGCTACGAACTGGAGGGTCCAACTACAGTTTCAGAGTAGATGGCACAGACCCTAAGGTGTCCTAGACAGATCAAGGTCCATATAAACCACCCAACTTGAGGATTGTGCCATCTAATCTTGACGTAGGATTATTCAACCGGCCCCCCTCCTTCAAGGTCAACAAGGTCAACAAGGTCTGAGATTGGAGGTATTGGAGGACCACATCCCCCTAATAAAGGTGATGACCTGATGATGGATGATGAAATGAGGACCTGGACCTGATGATGAATGATGGTTGATGGGATTGTGTGGAAGCATGAGAGTTTGAACCATGAGAACAATGAGGGTTCTGAGTGCATTGGCACAAGTTTGATCAGAGATCAGATACGATAGATCAGAGAGCCATGCCAATTGGATCATTGCATATCAGAGCATGGAGGATGAGGAATGGGAGGTGGAGGCTATTTGTGGTGAGGGTGGATCCATGGACTGGATGGTTTGAGTGGTGGCCTGTGGAGGATTGGTATGACCTTGTGGCATATGACACCCAATGGGAGAGGGATCTCAGAACATTCAAGATGAGTAGATTGGCTGCACAGATTGCCGCTGGAGAAAGCAGAATGATCAGAATGATTGATGGATGAGAGGATCAGCATTGGAAAAGGGTGGATCAGAGTGCCATCTCTGTGAGACAAGGGTGGGTCAAAAGATCAGTTTCACCATGGGGCAGAAGATATTAGATACCAGCCAAAAAGAAAGTAAATATAAGGAATGTTTTTGTTTTTTCTGGGGCAGCTGGGGTTGATTAATAGGGGGAGGCTTCTGCCCAGGCCACAAATTATTAGGGGGATGTCAAGGTGGAAATCTCTGAAACCTGTGTATGACTGGCTCCCCGCCACTCCTTTGATACCAGCCATGCCAGCTGGAGATCATTTCGCTGTCAGAATTTGGTCCACATATGTCCACATCCACGGCATCAGTTTAGGAGATTTGAATTGTTTCTGGTCAATTGGCGCTGGTTGAAAGTTCCCCATGACTGACATCCTCCTGTTGCTGGTTGGAAGCCATCGCTTCTAGGTTGGAGGCCATCGCTATTAGAAACAAAAATGTAAGAAAGGGAAAAGAGGTGGTCTTTTCACATCATGTGCATGACGTGCCATGGAGCGCCACGTCTACCCGTCACACGGGGTGAGCCTCACCTGTATGTTTCTGCAACACCTTTTTAGGGGAGTTGGCGAAAAAACAAGAACAGAACAGGTAGAAAGTTCGATTCATGTTCATTTTCCAGCGAAACGGTTCCGGAGTCAGTCGTCGGGCCACTGAGCCGATGCAAGCTAGAACAACCAATCACGCATTTTGTGTCAATATAACTGTGTTTTGTTCTGTAGTCTTCGGTCGCTGTGTTGTTGTAGTAAGCCACCAAAAAAATAAAAAACATACCGTAAAACACCCACCAAGAGCAATCAACCATCACAACGTTCACGATCTCTCAACAAAAAAGCGGCCACATGCCTCTGAGAACCACAAATTTACGGCTAGTTTTAGCTGGATGCGGCGGGTCCAACTGTGGAAATGGGTGCAGCTGTGATCCGTACAGGTCCAGTCTGACCCATAATGATGTCCGTAGTTATACTGGATATCTATGAATATCTGATTGAACATCTCCGGCCCATTGTTTTTTGTTCTCTCTTTTGCTCCTTCTAAACAGGAGTTTCCCAAGTTCTCCCGTTTTCTCTCTCCGCCTGGCTGCACGTTCCATCTCGGCCGCTGGCTTCCAAAACCGCCGCCGCGGCGACTACCACCATCGGCGGTGGTCGGCCACGCGACGAGGGTTTTTCAGGTTGGAAGATGAAGACCGTGGAATCGCGCATCGCCTTTTCGCGCTTCATCTTCGAGGACGCGGAACAATGTGCTCTCCAAGGCGCATTTTGTTGTGCTCTCCGGTGGAGGTGATGTATAGACAGTAAACACCGGTGAGAACTGGAGGACGTGGAGTGCCGTTACTGTCTTCGGGAAGTGTTCAGGTGGTGTGGTCGTCATGGCATCGGACATAGAGAAGGGATGAAGAGGAAGGTCCAGGTCGGAGGCGACGAAACATAAAATGCTGGATCCAATTTACCGCATGTTGCCGCTCGTCTTGAGTGGAAGACGTCTTTGGATAGGTTTGGTGGTTCACGGTCATGTAATAAGTTGTAGGCCGCAAGTAGGCCTGGAGTGACGAGGGGTCCACCATTAATTAGGTATTATCGCAATGAAGTATATACACTAAGCGTCACAAAGCCAAAGGGATATTTGACACACCTTGGTGTGATGCTTCTCTTGTGCTGTCAACTGTTGTTTCAGCCCGTAACGATGTTGGCAGAACTGCAGTGCCAGCATCATTATGGAATTCTATGGAACTGTTTTCCTCTACAACCAGCTAGGTCTTCCACTTCCTTGTTGCTTGGATGGGGTCATGCCCCCCTGAGTTCCTTCGCCCCGGTCGGCTCAAAGGGTCTCAGGATCGATTTCGCTTGGGGTTCGGTACGACGACCCCTCCTGGCGCCTGAGTTGTTCAAGATGTGAAAGAACATATATCAATATCACCCTGAAAAGAAAGAGGGTGGATCCGTGGAATGCCCACCGTAGCGCATGTCTTCGCAAGTCGCATGTCATCGCCCTTCTCCGACCTCACGTAGCGACGTAGCGTGACCATGACCACATCGGCTCATATCGGCTCCAGCTGGATCACGGTTTCACTTCTTCGATCCCGATTCCATGCCCGGAATGGGTGACTTGATGGCGTTCATCACGGCGCTGAGCGGTGACCAGTGGGACTGGTGGCGACATGTGGAGAGATCCCATATCGGAATCTATATAGGATAAGACCCATGGAGGGTATCCTCTATGAGGGGGGTCGTTGCTCCTTCCCCCCCCACCTAAAGCTGCATAGGGATATATTACATCTAATGATATCTATATACAAACATCTATACCTTCTGAGACAGAAGGTACGGCTGGACCCTCCAAGCCTACATAAGAGCGTCTCTAATCATCCTCTCAGAGGGTATGTTGATGTATGTTGATCCACAGGGAATATACATTCCATTGAATTCCATTGACCCCCTTTAAAGATACAAGGAGTGTTTGGGGAGAAGATGCGTGCAATGTTCTGCTGGTTCTTGACTTGAGACGAAGAGTCGAAGGTTGTGCGAAGGCTTGGTGCAAGTATGATCCAATGCGGCGAAAAGCACCTCGATCCCAACATGGAAAAACAATAGTAAGCACGACTTGATCTTGAATCTTGAGGCGTGAGAAGAATTCCGCCCTCGACTGAGCAAGGTGCAATTGCCCTAACCTTCAAGAGAATAAACAACATGGTCAGCCTGGTTTTGTAGTCCAAGTCCCTAGTAAAAACATTGCTGCTTGGCAAAGACCAAATCAATGGCCGTCGGAATTTGATGGATTGTGTATAAATATGCACTTTTACTTCACTTGAGTTGGCAGGAGAAGGCCGTTAAGTTATGTTGAACTTGTGACACCCAAATGGGCTGATCCGTGACATTACTATAGGGATCCACATATCTTCTCAGGTTCGGTATGACTGGACCCTGGCGCCTTGATGTTCAAGTGTCGAACACATCACCCCGAAAAAAGGCGTGGATCCCTGGATCCATATGGATTGAACCAGAAAATCGGGTCATGGCTAGTCAGAAGTTGTTCGAAGGCGGGCCAATCATGCCAATGTTTGCATTGGCACTTCTTGGGTGCCTGGGCATTTCTTTGGGCTCGACGTGCCTTCCGGATGCCATACCGGAAGATCAAAGACAGAGACTGGGGCAGAACTGATGAGGGAGGGGTTATTTTTATGGGCGCCGTGTTTGAATCACATGTCGGAACTATTTTCATTCAGTTTGGGTTGAGCCACACGCGTTGGAGGAGTGCAATGCATACAGGGGGTAGTTTATGCTGTGCCCTCCAAACCTGCTGTTTGCGATAGTTTCAACTCAATAGAAGGCTTGGACTTTTGTGATTACTTTGGGTATCACTACCTTCACATTCAGACATCTTCCACGAAGAACAACTTTACGATTCAGACTAAGTGTTGCCCAAAACAAATAGATTACTGTAACAAATAAGCCTATGTTTGGCTGGGTTGGCCTACATAATCCTACTTACAACTTTTGGGGGTTGGCTGGACAGGCTGCACACAAAATGGAAGTGTTTGTTTTGGTAGTGTGCTGATCATAATTAGCAATTACTTTGATAGACAACTGCTATTGATAGGAAACTGCTTAGACTTAGTCTATTTTGTGTCGGTTCGAGGCCATCGCTAGTAGGTTGGAGGCCATCGCTAGTAGGTCTATGATATTGATTGTGTAAGAAGAGAGTTTTTATAGAAACGCAGTTCTCGAGGCTTGGCCACTGTCAGCGAGTGGTGTGTGTGTGTGTGTGTTTGCTATGCACTCCTTTTTCAATGTGTCCTGTGAACATATTGACACGGCAAAATGTCCGTGTGGCACATGTGACCCACCTATGCGCGAGCATCACAACAACACCGCAAGCAAGAACCAAACACGACCTCTTTGCGGAACCAGCTTTGGAGCCTGCCAGCAAGTTAGCACGACAGCATCATGACATAACGGCATCCCATCATATTTGAAAAGCCCTTTGGAGCTTGAAATGGTGGGAAGCTCCTCCCAAACTCCGGAGCCTTCTCCGAAACCTGTTCTGCCTGAAATCGCGACCTCTTGGAACTTGCTCCCGAATTTGCTCCGGAACCTGCTCCGGAACCTTTCCGATCTGCTCAGATCCAAAGCTTTGCAGTTGGGAAATGTTAATTTGACGCTCAACGCTGACAACTCAATAGAATTCTTCTATAGGGGACCAAACTTGGCTTCCTGAAGCAGGTGGTGAGTTTGGGCCTTGTGGTATGGGTTTTCGTGGTAGCAGCGGTGTGGGTTTTCGTGGCAGCAGCTGTGGCTGAAAAGACGTAGCTGATATTGACATGCGGCATACGTATTTTACGTTCAGCTTTGACCTTGGACTGGAAGTTGAGAGGGCTGCAGGAGGAGAGGGCGAGAGGCAGAGCGATCCTTTTCGGACGGTCATTGATGTATTTTTATGTATGTTTATTCTTGCACTGTTTTCTTGTTCTTTGGTCAAGGAATATCTCGATGAACGGCATTTCCATGCCACTTGGGTTGACCGTCGGAGCCTCTTCGGCAGCGCAAGAGTTGCTTGTTTCCTGTGACCGAGCGAAGCACAACGGCAGGAAGAACCCAAGGAACCTGAAATAGGGGAACGGCTCCCTGCGATTTTTTGCTAAAGAGGCAACCAACAAAGTGTTGGCGGATGTGTTGAAAGAAAAGCAGATTCGTCGCGTAGTGATAGATGGATTGCGTGGAATTGAAACTGAGAACAAATGCATTTGATTTGTTTGGGGTAACGTAGATGATTTATATAAAATGATTAAAAGGTTGTTGCAATCCATGTTGGAACGTTTTGTTAAAGACATGAATTTGGTTTATTCGTTTTGGGGTTGGTCAAATTCCACAACCCAGGGCAGCCGTTGTCGTTACATCGAAAGGATTGAAATCGGGGGCAGGCTTCTGTCAGCTGCTTCCAAGGCGTCATCCTTTCACAACCCCACACCACTTACAATGCTTATGTTCATTGGCCCCTTGAAAGCGTTAGGTATGGAATACTATCTTCCCGCATTAGCCCTTGAAACCAATGTAGGTACATATGCCACGTCGCCATGATTGCCATACATTGAGTATTTGGATGCTTAGGATGCCACCACAAGTGCTGTGTTGTAATTTTGGATTCGCGGCTCATTCACTAAAGGTTAAAGGCTTTTGGTGTGTATTTGAAGGCATTCGGCACAGCGCCAGATGCACCAGACTGCAGTCTGGTTCTGTACAGATTCGCAGCTCAGGAAATTGGGCCTCTGCTGAGGTGCCGGAGTGGAAGGGAAAAACCACCTGCGTGATAGAAGTTGTTGTTCGTTTTGATGGCAGCCCTATGTACCATGCCAATTCTTGCTAGGGCATTGCCACATTGGCCACATGGAGAATCAAGGTTCCGACACTTTGAGGACCCGAACTGTTCGTTCTTCGCTCCGTCCGGCGAAGCGCCAAACGGTGCGGCTTATGGGTGTGGCCAGGTGGAAGAGGTGGTGACATCTCTATTTAAAAATGCAAGTGGAACGCATACTGTATCATACATATTTATAGATGAATTATGTTTTTGTTGGGTGCCACTGTTCGAGGGACGTGAAGTTAAGACTTTGGACTCCCAGGGTGCTCATTCCACTGAGTGGTGCCGAAGTGGATCAATGTGCAGGGGCTTTTCACTTGCACGTTCAGCGCCTCATTTTGGAGTGGAAGGTTGCCTCAAAATCACATACACCAATAAAACAAAGAATTAACAGCTACCCCACATGTGTACAACCAGCCCCCTCAAAGTTACATGACAACCATCCTCCAAACCCACTCTCCAGCACAGACAGCAGACAGTTACACATTTCTCAGTTGGTTTAGAACCTTCGCTGGGACGAAGGCTTCTGTGCCAAGAATCAAAATCTGACTCCACTGTCCTCGCTGTCCCTCCTACTAATTAGGAAAGGAGGCAATGCAGTAACTAGCCCCATAAGAAAAGCTGTAAGAAAATGGGTTCTCTTGTGGACCCCAATTCTCCCGCTTGCAGCTCGACTGAACTCCATATTTTTTGAGCATGTTGAGCACCTGCTCCTGGCTTGGGGGTGGATCAGAGTTGTGTGTTGAGCACGTCATTCAAAGTGTCAGTGATTGTTCTCCTTTTCCTCCCCAGGCCATCTCTGAGATGTATGCCATTTTGGCCTCGGAGATTCTGGGCTACAACGTGGTGCAGTACCCCTCTCCTAGCACAATGGCCAATCTTCACTATTTGTCTGGCTGCGATGGTGTTTCTCGGTGAGCAAAACCGAAACAGGGCTGAGGGCAAACGGCTGGGAAAAGGAGTTCTCGGGGATGTTAAACCTAATCTTGGACATGTTCACCCAGATGTTTGCTAAAAGTTTTGTTGTTCAAAGTAGCATTTGGTTTCTTCAGCCCGGATTGGGAGCCTTGGTGGAGCACCATTGGTCGCTTTGGAGGAACCTTCATCTCATGAAATTCGCTCAGAGAATGGGAGGGATTGACGTGCGTGCAAAATCGTCGAAAGAGCTCCAATCATCACTTCCGTGGGATTCTCTAAATCATCGGGACAGCTCTCCCCTCCATCGGAATATCATGGGGGATGAACCTTCCAAGCGCTTGACGGTTCACCACGTCTTCATCTCGAGTCCTCCGCCCGATGCGCCGTTGTTTGCTGCGTTTCTGGGCCTGCTTGCCCCATCTCAATTCCTCGTTGAGCCGCTTCTGACCCCATCGGCCTTGGTCGGAGGTGGTGCCCGTGGAGGAGTGCACCTGGCCAGCGTTGCGCCACGTGGGCTTCGAACTGTGGGAATCCAGCTGCTCAGGCAATAACAATGCTCCAGTCGGATCCGTTTGGGTTAAGGGAATCGGGATTTACTGTGATTCACTGCTGCATAAGGGAGCAGCCAGATTCAATCGCAAAACCGCAGGCTAAGGACAGGCAAGTAAGGTTGAGATGTTGAGTCTTGAGTCGTTGATGCATCGTGATGCCGCGCATGATGCCTACATCTCTTTGTGGGGGAAAAGGTTCATCAACAGGCAAGACTCTCCTTCCCCAGCAGGCATGGAAGTAGTGGAAGCGCCGCATGGAAGTGGTGGAAGAACCGAGCTTCTATCAATTCTGTCCACTTCCGATTGTTGCATAAGAAGTCATGCACAGCTTTGCTGCCAATCTTGCAGCAGTTAGAACATGGAGGTTTGAATCGGTTTGAACAAGTTGCTGTAGACTACTTTACACTTTGGCATTCCAATGTGTTGCCAACTTTCCACAGGTTTACGGACTGTTTGACAGCCATCAATCCTTTTTGTATTATAGTATAGACTCCTGGACTCCAGGATAAGGACAAGACTTGACAAAGTTTCACCTAAAGCCTTTGCTCGTCAATTGATCGTCCAATATTCCTCAATGATACCTCATGTATTCCATCTACTGTCTACACACTTCATTCCATATCCTTTTTTCTTGGGTGGGGAAAAGGCTTTTGGTGCAGATTTCGCGGGAGAACATCGCGGAACATCAGCTTGAAACATGCTGTTACTTAGGCTGGGCAGATCCTGATTGGCTGGCAAAAAAGGAGCAATTGGGCCAGCGTAGCATGCAGATGGAAGGATCCTTTGATGAAATTCATCCTGGGCACTGGGCAGATGTGGTAAATGGGTAACTGTACAATTATACAGTTATACACAATTTCTACTTTAGTTCTTAGTTGGTTCTTGGTAGGCAATGCATATGAGGCCATTTCTTCGTGATTATCCAATCGTCCACCATCCAAGATCCGGCGTGTCTACTATGTTTACTGTACATCTCCATTTCGGTGGCTGAGCATACTCCCTAGGAACGGGCATACTAAATACCAATAGCAGTGCAACGAGAGCAGAGAACAGCATAGAGCATGGCATGTATAGGAAGAGCAGCTGTACATAGCCATTGACATTTTGGCTCAAGCGCTCACAAGCAGAACAGATTGTGTGTAGATCTAGTATGTGGCCGCTGCGGTGATCGATCGTTATTTTCCCGATAATGATTAACACCCACACGCAGGTTGTCAGCCGTACCTGCTCTTGGGTACGAGCTACTACTGAGAGACCATTGAACCATCGTGACCAACAATGTCCATGTCCGGTGGAAATGGAAGTGAACCCTATTGCTTCGCCGCTCCTGGAGGAAACATGTCACAGTCATCTCCAGATTCTCGAATGACGGGTGCATGTTCAGCAGATGCCACCATTATGAGGATGCCAACAGGTTCCATAGTATCTAGAGAAGGCAGTGCCGTTCCCCCGGAGAGATATGAGGAAAACTCTCAGGTCTACGTCACCAAGGTTGACCCAGAAGACAAGCGTCACTAGTGGCAGCCACAGAGAGGTGCAATTACGGGAAGAGTTGCGGTCATCGAACATGGCCTATCAGGTCTTGCATGAAGAATGTTCACATGTACAGTCTGGGTATACTGATCTTCATCAGGGATCTGAGAATCAGAGAAGAGTTCACGAATGTGTCCAATTATGGACGAACCATGGAGACAAGACTGCAAGAGATTATGCAAGAAGACGAAGGTGCTACTATCAGGATTGGAAAACTAGAGCACAAACTTCGACTTGTTGAACAAATGGCAGATCACATCTGTGGGAGATACAAAGAACCAGCTAAAGAAAGCAATCAAGAACAATCAGAATTCCACGCTATGAACCATATAATGGAAAATGTACCGAGTGAACTGCAAGAGGCGATAGGACAAATCCACAAGCAGACGCAGAGGGTTACAACGGTGAACATGCATGCGCAAATTGAACGTTGAACACTGAGAACATGACCATGCGACAGATTCCCAGTCAACTGCAAACACGGATGCTTGCTCGTCAAGAAGCGAACATGAACATGTAGGAAGTCATTGGGCTTGGGAAGGAGAAGCAGATGCGGAACGAACATCATCAACTTCATTTCATGGACGAAATGTCACACGCTAATGCGGGTCATAATCATGAGCAACTGGTCATCGACCATCTCAGAGCACAGGTGGCCTCACTGAAAGGGGTTGAGCACAACGTGTACGCTGAGATTAGCTATCGTGATTCAGAAATCCGTGCAGAGTCACAAGGCTACCAATTGGGAGTTGTCGGCCGAAAAGACAAAGAAATCACACCTCCATATTATGAAGCCAAGATACTAAGAGAGGCTATGGATCAGCTTGAAACCGGCGTCAAAGAAAATGCCAGAACAACCGAACGGGAAAAGAAGCAAATTAAGAAGGCCAATACTGCCCTTATCGAAGCAAACTCCCAACTAAAACGGAGAGGAAAACCTGGCTTTGGTGATCAAGATGAATCAGAACTCATTGAGAAGGTTCAGAACTTAGAGAGAATCGTCGTTGACAATGAGATGGTGCTCAAAGAACTACGGGAAGAGAACACAAGCTTGAAGGTAGAAATGGCAGAAATGCAATCCTCATCCTTGCACTGGTTCGTGAGGCGTTGACCATGCCCCCGGCTGGGGTCCGTCACTCAGCGAGTACAAGGATGAAGGAGATGGAGGAAGACCTTCAAAACCTACAGGAACAGATTGAAAGATACGAGAGCGAGCGACATGAGGTTTATGAATGGTACTCAGATGCTCATGAACAGTATTATAAGTGGAAGAGGTCAGAGATCAAGAAGTGAGGACCGACAAGCTGAAGAATGAGCTTTCTGGGGCCACTGCAGCATCTTCATGATTGTCATCATGAACAAGGGCATTGAGAAGGGAAAAATCGAAAGTAGTGGTACCTCCGTGGCCGAGAGTAAATGATATTTGGCCTATGATTATGGAAAGCAAGTTTGATTCAGGCAATCATCGTTGCTGCCAATGACGCTGATCAGCAACCTTGGACCTTGGATTAACTGGATCAAGGAGGCGATTGACGATCCCGATCCAGGCAAGCTGGAAGATGAGCAGTTGCGAGATTTCACACTATCGATGCAAAGCTTGGAATGGCCTTGCAAAAGGTAGTGACAGACGCCAAGGAGGATGGGGTTCATGTTTCTATGAAACTCCGGACAAGACCCAATGCAAAGGGGTGACTTAGTGTGCTTATGTTGCTCGTGGCCAAAGTTTTGTTGGGTATGGTTCAATCCTTGCCAATGAGAATCTTAAACCATATCGACTGCACCGATGTTAAGTCATCGATGTAGCTTCAGTTTGATCTGAGCTGGTCCGAATATTTCACGGAAGGATACCACAGAATGATTCCCTTTCTGGAGGCAGTTCATGATGCCCAGCGGTTGCTGGGAAACCTCTCTGGCAGAACAGCGCGGGAAACTTCCGGGTTGAGAACAAAACAAAATGCACGTGGCACAGTCTAGAATAAAGACAAACGTCATGTGTGTTATGTCAATGCGCCAGGAATTTCTGATTGTTTAGCTCTTGTCTAGCGATGCGGTGATATCAAACGCATGGTTCTCGCGCTTCTTGAAAGCGATGGCGCCTGTTTGGAGCTTGCTGTTGAGGTCCGGGAATATCCGGGAATGCCCACTGCGATCCGGAGCTTGCCGTTGATGTCCGGGAGTGCCCACTGCGATCTGCTTTCTGTTGAGTTTCGGAAGTGTCCACTGCGATTAAAGCTTGCTGTTGAGGTCCGGAGCGTTAGCGCTGGGGGTGCCCACTGCGATCTGGAGCAGCTTGCTGTTGAGGTCCGGGAGTGTCCACTGCGGTCTGGCGCTTGCTGTTGAGGGCCGGTAGTCCCGGTAGTGCCCACTGTGATTTGGCGCTTGCTGTTGGTCTGGTGTATCATTGCAATGTGGCGCCTGCTGTGGAGGTCTTGCTTTTGAGGCCCGGTAGTGCCCACGGCGATCTGGTGGGAGGAGAAAAAGAAGGAGGACCTGACAGGTCAGGTGGTGAAAATTGTCAAATGACAAAAGGTCTCAAGAAAAAAACGGAACACAGCTCTCCATCTCCATGTGTATTTTGCGGCCAAAGGGCGCGGAAACGCCCAGCATATAGTCTGCATTGTTGCTCGCAGATGAGGAAGTATTGGCTTCTCTGGAAAAGAGGGCCTGTACGTCATGGGCCCTGCCCGCCAGAAGAGCCGTGAACACTCAGGGCTGCACTTGGCCTATTATGGTCACCTGGTCCGAAGGGGCGGTGATTCATGGATAAGTAAAATTTCTCAAAAAATGTTTACTTCAATCAAGCATTCATCGCTAGCTAATCAATGATGCCAATTATTGTGGCATAGTTTGTCAGTTCGATGGTTTGGTTTGTCATTGTTTTCACCCTATTGGGAAATAAAACTAAAGCACCGTGCCGTGCCCTTTTATCGGTGTGTTTTCGATATGGAGGACCCTTGAAAACCATCGTCCAAACGATCAAACCATTGGTCGCAGGCAGTCGCAGGGCTCGAAAGATATACTGCCTTTACACATGAGATCACCAGATTGGTGTAGATCTACTGCAGAAAAACATTCATCCCCAGCAACCCCCACCACCACCATACCCCATATTGGGACCCCATGTTTTGTGCCTGTCGTTTGGGTTCTCATCCATGGCAGTCAATGGAATACATTGCAGATCCTGCAGGGACGGAAGTGGATTCTGCATGGTTCCAAGTTCAGGGGGAAACGGGACCGTGCCATGTTCATCGGAAGTTCTTCCTCTCAATCACAAGTCGGCCGAGGCAATCTCAACGCTTCTTGGTTCCACCCAGAGAACTACGCGGCCAATGTTTCACAGGTGGACATCAACAAACTTTCGACCTGCAAAGTTCCTGGGCTGTGAAACTGAAGTCCTTTGCACGTGGGTTTTCCACGAAACGGAACCTTCGAAAAACAAGAAGTGCGCAAGCTCTCAGCAACCCATTTTGGGGGAGATGCGTGTTTAAAAATGTATATATATATATATGTGCGTGTGTGTCCACGGTACACAAAAAAACACACATATATAGCTGGTACATATGCGTGTATTTCTTGACCCCATGTTTGGGATACTGTACCACTCGGGCCGGGTTTTCACGGCGGGCCCCAGAAATGATTCACGGTACGAGGGCACGCCTTTTGAGACTGGCAACAGCTCACCCTCTCTTCGACGGCCCGCCCGACTTTAGACACATGAAATTAAGACTTTAGGGCTCAAACCATATCCTCAGAAGATGGTTAGACCCACCCCACCCCACCCACCTTCAAGGGATGTGGTTGGAGCCCTGTGGAGTATGAAATGATGTATAGACTCTTGATTAACAACCCCCGGATCATATGTTGTTGTTTTTCTCGGAGGTTGTCCAATCCAAACGTGCAGGTTGTGATATTTAAGCGTAGTACGTACATGACGAAGACCCAAATCAACCGATTGATTTTGTCCGTTTTTGTTTGTCCCAGAGGTCGTTTTTGTGGTTTCCGCCCTTTCGACCCCCAAAATCGCATGCCCGGAACAATGAGGGGCAACTTAGAGTAGAGCAGATCACCTGTATACTGTGCACATACACCGGTAGATGATGATTCCAGTTTGCCAGAATCATCTGGAATGTCTGCCGCATGTGTTCTTCGCCGCTCAAAAGCCGATCAGGAACACAGTCTAGCCGGCGCGCAGCTCTATGGCCAAGTGACCGGTGATGCCGATGGTTTGGAGACCGTGGATGGTGTGTGACTTGGAGACCATCGACGGTGTGGGCGCTCGGAGTTTTCTCTGTGGGTTCAGCTAAAGGTGCTAAAGCAGTGTAATTAGACTCAAAAAAGGCGTCGGAACCAGGCAAGTTCCACTTCCATAGTTAGTTGGATAAATGTATCATGTTGATTATATATCATGTACTATATATGCATGTTACATGTTACAACTGATCATATTACATAATATGCCATCTATCCACACCTCCGCACTCCAAGATGAAGCAGGAAGTAAAACAGAGAAGCGATCGCCAACCTTGTGAAGGAGGGGTGAGAATTTCATAGAATTTCACTACCATGCACGTGGGACTATGTTGGCCTGGTCTGAAGGGCCAGGGGCATGCAGGTCATGGCACGCCAGTCAATCCAGTCATTCAACAGGAAAGGACTCATCAGCTTCATGGATGTTCAATGAGGTTCGTTCCTTGTTGAGCCACAAAATCCACAACACCTTGCCTAAGACCCACCACCGTGACCTTGGATTGCTTGCCGTGCTTCGCTAGGAACCAATCGGGGCAGGGAAAGACAATGGTCCTACCAGGTCGAGAATTTCTCTCGTCCGATTCACTCAGATTCGATCGTTTGGCTTCCCCAATGTTGCTGGCGGCTTTCCCCCAGGTTGCAGCTCGTGTTGACTCAAAAAGGGAGCCCCAACGTCGAAAGCCCAATGACCCTGGATTTCCACTCAGCAGTTGTCACGATTTGGCTGTTTCTCGAACACGATCCAAATCATTCAGGCTCAGGCTTTAAGGAAGCTCCAGAACCCTCAGGCCCCAAAAAATGTCTCCTTGAGGCTTGAGTGCTTTTTGGCCTCCCAGCCTAGTAACTTCCTGGCTTCGTAGCTACCCCTGACTTGTTAGCGGCCTACCCTCCCGTTCGGAATAATAAAGAAAAGGAACAACTCGAGCAACTGAGGATAAGTTACAAATGCTGGCAAGACAAGTGGTGGTTAGCTCCCGCTTGTCGAAGTAACCCGGGCAGCTGCATGGCCGTGGTGACTGCGCAGGGATGGGCATTTCGAGAATTGACTCAGCAGGCATTCTTCCACAACATACCTATGGCTATTGCTAATGGTCTGGATTTTGCCACCTACGTGGAGCTCAATGCGGCTTCGAGAAACCCGTCGACGCGGTTTTTTCCGCTTCATCTTGAGGGATCTCCAAGTCGGAATGGACTGTAACCCTAGGCCCTTGAACCCTTTTGTTGGTTCTTGATGGATGCTGATGTTGCCTAAAAGAACCCACAGAGGCCACGACCAAGTTGCTTTTGCAGAGTTCGTGGAGTCCTGAAAGTATATAGTTGAAGATCACGCAACTTGCACGTCCGTCCGTCCATCCATCCCTCCACACCCCGGAAGATCACCCAGATTTTGCTGCTTTTGAAGTGGAACTATAATTAACATTAACTAACAATTAGGGCGGGCGTTGCGGCGTTGCCTTTTTTTGTAATTTTGTTGTCCACATGGAATGGCTAACATGTTGAGGCGCAACTACAGTCATTTCTTTTTTGGTGGAATCCGGACACGGCCTTTGTGCTCTACGATACGACACTGGTGGAAATGCCACCATGGAATCCCTCAGAGCAAAAGCAGGGAATCCTCAGATCCGCCACGGACGCTCGGGCAGTCAAAGCTGCGCAGTAAGTGCTATTTGAGTGGGTTCTGGAAAGGATGATGAGTCTACTGTATTTGAGAGTCGGAGGGTGATTTTTCTGGACAGGGTAGAGAGCAGAAAGAGAAAAGCATCCCAACCCATGCAAAATAGCTTTTGCCTGATCAAAATAACAGCGCTTGCGAGCCAAGAGTTCAAAACAGTTCTGGTGCTAGGAGGTAGATGCTGGACAAGGTGAAGGCAGAAGTGTTCAAAAAGACTTTGGCCATGCTTACCCGATATTAAAAAACTGCATATATCATATATGTGAAGAACTTAGATCATAAGTAGCATTGTACAGTATAGCATGTACATTTTTTGACCTGCCGGGCAGCCCTTGCGAGTGTCAAGAAAAGTTCGCATGGCAGCACAGCAAGGATAAGGGCAGCCTCCTTTGAGCTCCAGAGAAAAGCCCCTATAGGTCACTGGGATCCCGGGAGCGTGTTCGAGCCATAGATTTGGGGCTTTTGGAACACAAATAGCTGAACTGGTGATAAACTGTTGTGAACGGCAGATAAACTGTTGTGAGCGGCACGTTGTAACCCCGTACACAGTGTCAGAAGGACAAAATAGTGCGACAACGATGGAGGAGATCAGAGAAATCCTTCAAGTTATAACAGGGAGCACGCAAGCAACAACATCAGCAGCTGAGGCAGTGAAGAAAGCAGTTGAAGACAAGAAGTCATCAACTGGTTGGTCAAAACTCATCGCGAAGCCCAACATACTTGGATACAAGTCACAAGAAGAAGAGATCAAAGCATTCAGAGAGCGGTCATGGGTATTCGAGAAGTTGATGAGTTCAGTTGATGAGGTTTACATGAAGGACATGACTACAGAGGAATGGATTGCTAGCTTCATTGATGAGGGGAAGAGCGCTGCAATCGGTGAAAGCTGCAGGGGACTCCAATGGATTTGCTGCAGGGGACTCCAATGGATTTGATGCCTGGAGGAGTTTGAACAATTGAAACCTATACTTCAAGGGCTAGAGGACTAGCACTTTCGGGAGAAGCCACTACATGGCCAGCATTTTCAAAGAACAGTGCCCCACAACCTGGAAGAAGGATTTGATGAGATGGTCAAGGCAGGAACGACAAGTCAAGAAGAGTTGAAATCTGCTATTCTTTTCAGATGTGTAGGTGGACAGCTCAAATTCTACTTGAAGTTGACAATTGGCGACAATGTTCAATACTCAACTTTGAGGGAACAAGTGTTGCAATGGGATCGTTCTCAGCAGAAGTGGGCTACTTCAATGGTGGCAAGTAGCTGTACAGACTATCAAGGACCCATGCCTATGAACATGGATCGAGTTCAAGATGCTACAGGGAAGTGCCAAAGTGGAAAGAATGACCATCAGAAGGGCAAAGGTAAGGATGCCAAAGGCAATGAAGGAAAAGGAGAACAGAAAGGAATAGACGGTGATCAGAAGGGCAAAGGTAAACGAAAGGACCAGAAAGGAAAAGGTGTGGCAATTTGTTGCACTTGTGGAGAGCCAGGACATCTTGCTCGAGACTGTTGGAGAAACAATATTCGACAGGTTGCAAGTGATCCAGCCCATTCATCTTCAGGAGGAGCATCAGTGACTACTCATACAGTTGGTCAACAACAAGCCAATTTTAGCCAACAGAGTAGCTCAGCAGAGGCCAAACCAGTGGTCAGGAGAATTGAGAACAGTGAGCCAATCATCTTTGACTTGCTAGAAAGGGATGATGAAGTAGAAAAATCATTGGTATCGAGTGATTCACTTCCACATTGGAGATGATGATGATGATGTTGATGAGCCAGAGAAAGAATTGTGAGGAGATTGAGGCCTCAGATGAGGAGCCCAAGGTCCAAAGTGAGGAGCCTTGGGGAAGAGAGACAGGATGTGGCCATCATTATTGACAGTGGAGCTGATGTAGCATTATTCCGTTTGAGTATGGCAGATCATGGGAAAGGAGAATGAGAGTATAGCACAAAGACCAGGCTACAAGATGCGCAGGGGAATCGTATCCCCACCGAAGTTGCGAAAAGTGTTGAAATCTTCTTGCGTGACATTGTTGGACGAGAAACACTTCTCAAAGATAATATGATCTTCAGTTCAGAAGTAAATCAGCCCATACTTTGCTATGGAAGACTGATGGGTTGGTCTGTGTGATTGTGATTGTGGTTGTGTGTTTGTGGTTTGCGCGTTCTGGCGCTTGCTGTTGAGGTAAGGAGAAAGGAAGGAAGGAGGGAAGGAAAAAACAGTCTTTAAACGTCGAAGAATCTAACACCCCGCACCTGGTAGGTGTGAAAATATTGAAAAACAGAAAGGAGCGCTCTCAGTGGCGCGTTTTTGAATATAGTTCAACCAACAACTTTTGCCAGTGTCCCCTCACAACTTGTGTGAGGTGTGTACCCTAATCTTTGTCAGCAACTTTGTTTTCCAGAGAAACCATGAAAAACCAACAAAACTAGAACATTGAAATTTCCAAGGAACTCAGGAAATCCCAAAGACACTTTAAACACAATATCAATCAAAAAACATCAACCCAATCTTTATCCGCAACTTTGCTTTCCACACAAATTGGATGTCCTTGATCCTAATATCATCTACTATCGATTTTTCCACGTTGATTTCTCACGAAGAGGCCGCGATCTGAGGTTTGTTGGGAGACCACCAAGTTTGTAGAGGTTTTTGGCTCTTCAGCGCTTGCAAGTGCTGATGTGAATTATTTGCAATGCACTTGCAAGTGCTGATGTGAATTATTTATCCAAAAAATCAGTATGGCCAGGCCCTCCCGTCCTGAGTCCGAGAGAGGGATAAATCTGGAGGATCAATTTAGTATGGGAAAACTAACCAAATAACAAGGAACCAACAAATACCCCAAAAAGATGCAAAAAAAGGGATTGAACACTGACAATTTCATCGAAAAATGTTCCGCTCACAGCGCTCCCCTCTCTGGAAAAAATGCAATTAATGTTGAAGGGCCAAAAGGCCCTGGGTCAGTGCGGCCGTCTATCAGGTGCAGGCCCGTATCACCACCGGCACAGCAGCGGGGTTGGAGACGGCGGCGGATCGTGCGTGGGGCCTAGCTCGAAACCTTCGCCTCTCTGACAGCCGCGTGGATGGAGGAACCATGTTTTGCAGAATGCTCACCCTAAGAGTATTACTCTTATGGACACTTATGGACACTCCATAAGAATCCTAGTATTACTCTTTGTCCTAGTATTACTCTAAGAATCCTTGGACACTTATGGACACTTCATAAGGTCGAACCCTCCATAGCGGCCGAACAAGAGAACCTCTTCTGCCCAAAGAGTGCTGGGTCCAGATTCCAGACCCTTTTGGGCCGAACTCAGGTAACTTACAAGACTTGCTGTTGCTTTCGGTCCAGAATGGTGGCAATGCCTTGTATTCAGCTTGCACCTGGCTCAAGGCCAATCAAAACGTTTGGGACGAGTGGGTGCCCGACAAGACGGCTTGTTCCATCGGCAAGGGCTTGGTGAACTCACAAGGGGACTTCGTCACCTCCCGCGTTGATGCCTGGCGCAGTGGCGGATGACTGGGCAGTGATGTGTCATTCCCGGCCATCCTTTGGTGGTGAGGTCCCGGCCATCCATGTACGGAATGGTTGCACACATGTACCCAATGTATATGGCCCTGATGTATGCAACTATTACATGGATGGTCTGGGATTTGATCCCCTCGTTTTGCTGAATGCGGTGATTTCCCTTAATGGTATTGGAGGTTTCGTACTTTTGTTTTTGGCGGTTTCCATTGGAAACCAACTCCAAGGATGCGGTGGATTGCGCCATTTGCCCGGCAGGACGTGCTTCGACCAAGTCAAGTGACACAAGGCTGTGCACCGAATGCACTCCAGGCAGCTATCAGGGGACCTTCGGAATGTCTGAATGCACCTCGGTCAAAGTCTTTGCCCAGGAGCTGATCTTGTGGACAGGGCAATGGGGCGAGGGAGGGAGAGAGGGAGGGAACCCATGTGCCACACCATTTGAGTGTGCAGTTTTTGCAATATTGAACATTATCGTTTAGAGTTCCCTACGGACAAGCACATGTGTCTGTTGGCCGTTTTTTAGGCGTTTCGGGTGGCTTTTGGAAGGTCAGATCAAATGAGCCCATCGGACAGAGGCATGGACAGAGCCCATCGGGGTTTGCGTCCGTCCGGACGTGGTTGGACAGCACAGAGCGAGATGGCCCATGCTCGTGAGGGATACTGGGGTATCCCGAATGTGATGTGCTGCACAGCCTCTAGGCTCACGGAACCATGTGGATCATGTGACCTGTTTTTCTGTGCAATCCATTCATGAACTAAACATTGTTTGCCAGGTCCTGACTTGTTGAGGGTAATCCTGTATAGATATAAGATGTTGTTGTCATACTATGTAATACTATCTATTTAATATGACAGGGCATGCCATTATTGCAGCTCCCTCCTGTGTTCAACGTTGTCTTTGTTGAACCTGCACGAGGCAACCTTTGCGAGCTTGGCACCATTGCCGTCCAGCATGGAGCCATTCAGTGTGATCTCTGTCGGATCGGCGAATATGCCAACCGCACTGGGATGAGCTCTTGCTACAGGTGCCCTCCCGTCAAGCCGATGCTTCGGGGTTTCGGTGAGAGAGGTCGATGGGTCGAGGTCGATGGGATGAACTCTCTGACTCCTTGGAGTGTGGCGAGATGTGGCCTGATGTGGAACATATGATATCATATGATCATGTTCCTGCTAGATGATTTGGTTGGTGCATGCTTTTTCAATAGTGCACGACTCATGACAATATAAACTATATTTATCTATATTTATTGTTATTGTGGTAATTATAACAATAGCTGTGAGCAGCTGGGGCAAGAAATTCTGCGTCAGTCCAACTTGCTCGGGAAATTTGCGGATTTAGGGACACTCCGCATTACGTAGGAATATCATGGAATATCAACGTTCAGCAGGAAATTTATAAGGCAAAGACAATTTTATATAAAGTAGCCTTC